CACCTGTGTTTGAGTAAAATTGTCCTATAATAGACTATCCTTTTAATGTCCTATGTTTTAATATCTAGTTTATGCTGGCCTCTTAAAATGAGTTGGAGAGCAGTCCTTTGTTATAATTTTTATTTGTTTATGGGTGTGCTGGGTCTTTATTGCTGTGTGGGCTTTTTTTTCTCTAGTTGTAGCAAGCAGGAGAGTAGTCCTTATTTTTAATTCTTTGGAAGAAATTTGTGTGTTATTTCTTCTTGTTTACTGGTGAAATCATCTAAGCTTACAGCTTTCTCTCTATAAAGATTTTATTTATAGATTAAGTTTATAAAATTAGTCACATTTTTAAATTTCCTTGACAGTATTAGTTACTTGGACTTTTGTAGAAATTTCTCCACTTTGTATAAAATTTCAGATTTATTAACATATTGTTGTTCATAGTGGCCTCTTATCTTTTTCGTGTCTACTACATTTGAATGATGCCCCCCTTTTCATTCCCGCTTTTGGTTATTTGTGATTTCTTTCTTTCTTATCAATTTTGCCAATTTTTCTTTATCAATTTGAAATTCTTTATTAGTTGTTTCAAAGAGCTGCATTTGACTTTGGTCCTCTTTTTTCTAGTGTCTGTTTACTCTTTATTTCCTTTTTTTCTCTTTGGGTTTATTTTGTTGTTTTTTTCATAGTTTTCTAAAATAGATACCTTTTTTCTAAAGTACTTACCTTTTAAATTTTTAACCTTTTTTTCTAATGTATGCATATAAAGCTTATAACTTTAAGATCAACAGAGTTAAACTGTATCCCACAGATTTTGACATTGTTGTTTTAGTTCAAAGAATTTTAAAATTCCTGTTGTGATTTCTTCTTTGGCTATGGGTGTTTTAGAAGTCTATTTCTTTTTCTTTTTTTAAATTTTATTCAAGTATAGTTGATTTACAGTGTTGTGTTAATTTCTGCCATACAGCAGAACGCCTCACTTATACACATGTATCATTCTCTCCCTCTTTTCCATTATGGCTTTATCACAGAGTACTGCGTATAGTTCCGCGAGCTGTACAGTGGGGCTGTGGTGTTGGCCCATTCTGTGTGTGATGGCTTATGTCTGCGAACCCCACACCCTCATCCGGCTCGCCCTCACTCTTTCCCCTGTGCGGTGTGTCTGGGAATCTGCTTCTGCTTCCTAGATGAGTTCCTGTGGGTCATATTTTAGATTCCATACATAGGTGATGTCATATGACATTTGTCTTTCTCTTTCTGACTTACTTCATTTAGTATGATAGTCTCTAGGTCCATCCATGTTGCTGCAAATTGCCTTATTTCATAAATGTATCACATTCTCTTGATCCATAGAAGTCTGTTTCTTAAATTCTGCATACATAGGGATTTTTAGTTTTCTCTTTGTAATTGCACTGTCAGAAAACTTACTTTAAATTACTTTAAAGGTCAGATAAACTGTTTCAATACTGGGAAATTTATTATTGTCTTTGCTGTGTATGCTTTAAAATACCCTGTAATTGTTAGGTCATGAATTCTATATGTCTATTAGATAACTTGTGTTTATTAAGTTGTTTAGGTCTATTACTTTACTGATTTGTGTGTATATACTTGTTTTCTATGTGCTGACATGGTATGTCTTTTACTCCTGCCTTTTTGCCTTCAGCCTTCCTGAATTCTGAATATTTTATATGCATGCCTTGTAAACTTAATATAGTTGAAATTTCTTTTTTTTTAAATACAGTCTGATAATCTTCAGGTTTTAACTAAAGCATTTAATCTACTTAACATAATCACTGATATATTTGGATTTAAATCTGCTATTTTATTTTGTGCTTTTAATTTTTCCTACCTGATATATGTTTTGTTTCTTGCCTGTTGTGTTCTTTTTTCCTTTTTCTTTTGACTACATACTATATTCCATTTTTTCCTTAGTTTTAAAGTTTTATACTTTTTTTACCCTTCTTTTAGTTTTCAACCTAAAGATTACAACAGACATCTGTGATTTATCAAAGTCAGTTGGTGCTTTTATTTTTTTCCTAGATAGTGCAAGTTCTTTAATATGCTCTAGCTATTGTATGATATAGTTGCTGTTGTTGTTATGCAGATTTTTAAAATTATCTTGTATTTTAAATGCAATACATTATTCTTATGTTTTATGAAAATTCATTTAGGCTTACATATTTACTGTTTTCACTGCTCTTCATTTCTTTCTCCTTGGCTTTTCTCTTTGAGTCATTTTCTGTCTGTCCTTCCCTTAGTGCAGATCTGCTGGTGACAGATTTCCTATCTTAGTATGTCTGAAAATGTCTATTTGAACTTCATTCTTGAAGACTGCTTTTGCAATATATAGAATAATAGACAGGCAGTTACTTTTTCCTTTCATCTTTTGAAAATGCCCTTTGTTGTTTTCTGACTTTCATTGTTTCTGTTGAAAAGGAAGCCTTGAATCAAATAGTTGCTTCTTTGTTGCAGATACATTTTTTTTTTTCTGACTTCTTTTTAGATTTTCTCTTGCCTTTAATTTTTAGCAGCTGTCTCTAGGTTTGGGTATGGACTTCTTTTTATTGGATTGGCCAAAAAGTTCGCTCAGACTTTTCATATAACATCAGATGGAAAGACCTGAATGAACTTTTTGGCCAACCCAATGTTTGTCTTTTCTAGAGGTTGAAGATTTTCTTCAGTCAGTAGGTTGATATCTTTAATTGGTTTTGAAAGATGTTCTGCTATTATTTCTTTGTTATTTCTCCTGTAGGATCTCTCTTTTCTCCTAGTAATCTTTTTGCATATGATAGATCTTTTTATTGTGTCCTCTTATTTTCTTTACTGAATTTTTCTAGAAAAAAATTTGTTTTGTTTTCTCTGCTTGATTCTTTATATATTTTCTTCTGACCTATTCCAGTCCACTAGTTAAACTATGTCTTTCTGTGTCTTTCAGCACGGTTACTTTAAGTCTGTTCTGATGGTCACAATATCTGGTGTCATTGAGGCTTTCTGTTGTTTTTACTGGTTTCCATTTACATTGTCTTGTCTCCTTTTGTGCTTGGTTACCTTTTATTGTATGTGAGCAAAGTATTTTTAAAAATTATTTGTAAAAATATTTTGAAACCTGAGATGGTGTTACTTTCCTCCAGAGAGTGTTTTCATTGTTTTCTGCCAGGTTCTAGGACACTAGCAAGCTGAGATTACTTGAAACCAGTTTTAGGGATTACAGTTTTTATAACCATTCAGACAACTTGAAGCTAGCCTGCAGTATCTGCAATGACTATAATAATTTCAATTTACAAACCTTAGGGGTCCCAGCATCAGGCATGGATGGAGTCCACACTCAACACCCGACTACAGCTCACACCCTTGCCTGGGTCTGGACTATTATTCTTACCCCAGGGCTTGGCAAATTTTCTATAAAGGACCATAGTCTAAATACTTGAGGCTTTGCGGAACATGGAAGCTGTTGCAACCATCAGTGCTACCGTTATTCTGCAGAAGAGCCATAGACAATGCATGAATTAATGAGCAGAAAAGTATTTCAATAAAGCTTTATTTACAAAATCTGACATTAGGACACATTTGGCCCAAGGGCCATATTTTGCTGACTCCTGCTGTAGTCTGTCAGAAGCTCTGTTCAGACTCTCATCTGCCTCTTCTTAAATGTAGATTAGCCCTGAATACTGGGCCAACCTCTCTTTGGTCTGCCTTGTTAACTCTGTAGTGCCTTCAAGAATCTGTTAGGTTTTTATGTTTCGTCCAGTTGTTCTCAGCAGGAGGTTTAATTGTCATTATTAGAGGCTAAAGTTACATACAAAGTAACCAATTAAAACAATGAGATTATTCCCCCTCTGATCTCAAGAAGGAAGTTTCTTGAGTTGTTCTTAGAGAATATCTCTCACTAACACCCTATAATATATAAATGATATTTTTTAAAAAATAAAACTGAGTTTTAGGACCTGTTTTGTATAGTCTTCCTAGAGACAGTATATATTCCAAGGTTAACATTACAGAGCAGTCTTGTCCCTCAGAACTTTGATGATAGAAATGCTCTATATCTGCACTTTTCCTTGTGGTAGTCACTGACCACCTGTGGCTGTTACACTTTTGAAATCTAGCTAGGGTGATTGCAGAGCTAAATTTCTACTTCTATTTAATTAAAAAAAGCTTTATTGGAGTATGCTTGATTTATAATGTTGTGTTAGTTTCAGGTGTATAGTGAAGTGAACCAGTTATACATATATCCACTCTTTTTAAAGATTTTTTTTTTCCATATAGGCCATCTCGGAGTATTGAATAGAGTTCCCTGTGCTATACAGTAGGTCCTTATTAGTTATCTGTTTTATATATAGTAGTATGCACACATGTCATATACATATATGTCAATTCCAATCTCCCAATTTATCCCTCCCCCACATCCCATTTAACTTTAATTAACTAAAATTTAAATAAGCCATGTGTGGATATTTAGTTTGCAGGATATTTAGTTTTGCAGGAGGTAGCTTAGATGAAAAGGAGAATCTCATATCATTGTAAAGATTAGGATTGACACGTATACACTACCATGTGTAAAATAGCTAGTGGGAAGTTGCTTTATAGCACAGGGAGCTTAGTTTGGAGCTCTGTGATAACTCAGAGGGGCAGAAGAGGGGAGGAGGGAGGGAGGTTCAAGAGGAAGGGGAATACAGGTATATATATGGCTGATTCACTTCATTGTACAGCAGAAGAAACTAATACAGCATTGTAAAACAACTATACCTTAGTTAAAAAAGAGAATCTCATCCCAGTACACGGTGTGTTCTTACACTCCCACCCACCTGCATACCCATTTTCCAGTGCTCTGGTAAGAAATACTTAGCCTAAATGTGTTTGATGGATATGGTATCTCATTAAATATTTTAGGTCTCATAGAATGTTTCCACTTATTCCCACCATTCACCAGGTGTGATGGAAATATTACACTTGTTATCCTAACTGGGCCAAGTAAAACTGATGGACTCACTCAGTTTACCTTTAACATGTATTTTTCTTTGCAGGGCAAGGGGCGTCTTCGTCGAGGAAACTATCCATGTCCAGTCTCTCCTGCTGTGGTTCGGTTGCCCTCCATGTCTGATGTCACAGAAGAGACCTTGACTAGTGAGGCGGCCCTGGATACTGACATCACGGAGCAGCAGCAGGCAGCTATGCAGCAGGAGGAGAGAGTCCTGACCGAGCAGATTGAGAATCTGCAGAAAGAGAAGTGAGTCGCCGGAACGAGAGGGAGCAACCGTTACCTGTTTCCATTTCCTTCCTCCTGTACTCTCTTTATTCTTCCTTATTGTGAATCAAGCTCTACATCAGGGTACAGGGGATGTAGAGATGACAAGGACATGCTGTCTTTACTCAGGTAGCAGTGCAAAAGTTGTCACCTCAGGGAAGGATGCTCATGAGCTGGGAGATCTGAAACTGCTACAGTGGAGATTCTCGAAAGCCTGACTGGACAGGGTGTGTCAGTCTTAGCCCAGATTCCTAACAGGTCACCAGTCTTGGTGACAGATTTTTCTTATAAAGGAGGAATAAGGATTCCCAGGCTAAGATGATTCAGAACTCCATAAAGGAACATTATTATCTGAAGATCATTATAACCATGGGGTCAGCAACTGGATGGTCAGGGTAAGGCAGCAACTCTTGGAGGTGCTGGGACACAGGGTAGGGAAATTGGTTGCAATTTGGGAGAGAGACAAATAAACTGCTTTGTGACCTCTACCATTCCTGGAGCAAGGATGGTAACACTACTTCTTGGGTATAATGTGAACATCCTGTGGTCTTCTCTGAAGGTACTGTGTACTGGTTGATAGTGATGACTTAAGTTTTAAGGAGATTTTTGTTCCTGAGTTCCAGGATCCCAGGTCTGAGAGCTTGATTCATGAGAGATTATGACTTTTTTTTTTTTTTTTTAATTAGTTGGAGGCTAATTACTTTACATCATTACAGTGGTTTTTGTCATACATTGAAATGAATTAGCCATGGATTTACATGTATTCCCCATCCCGGTCCCCCCTCCCACCTCCCTCTCCACCCGATCCCTCTGGGTCTTCCCAGTGCACCAGGCCCGAGCACTTGTCTCATGCACCCAACCTGGGCTGCTGATCTGTTTCACCCTAGATAATATACGTGTTTCGATGCTGTTCTCTTGAAACATCCCACCCTCGCCTTCTCCCAGAGTCCACAAGTCTGTTCTATACATCGGAGTCTCTTTTTCTGTTTTGCATATAGGGTTATCGTTACCATCTTTCTAAATTCCATATATATGTGTTAGTATACTGTAATGGTCTTTATCTTTCTGGCTTACTTCGCTCTGTATAATGGGCTCCAGTTTCATCCATCTCATTAGAACTGATTCAAATGAATTCTTTTTAATGGCTGAGTAATATTCCATGGTGTATATGTACCACAGCTTCCTCATCCATTCGTCTGCTGATGGGCATCTAGGTTGCTTCCATGTCCTGGCTATTATCAACAGTGCTGCGATGAACATTGGGGTGCACGTGTCTCTTTCAGATCTGGTTTCCTCGGTGTGTATGCCCAGAAGTGGGATTGCTGGGTCATATGGCAGTTCTATTTCCAGCTTTTTAAGAAATCTCCACACTGTTTTCCATAGTGGCTGTACTAATTTGCATTCCCACCAACAGTGTAAGAGGGTTCCCTTTTCTCCACACCCTCTCCAGCATTTATTGCTTGTAGACTTTTGGATAGCAGCCATCCTGACTGGTGTGTAATGGTACCTCATTGTGGTTTTGATTTGCATTTCTCTGATAATGAGTGATGTTGAGCATCTTTTCATGTGTTTGTTAGCCATCTGTATGTCTTCCTTGGAGAAATGTCTGTTCAGTTCTTTGGCCCATTTTTTGATTGGGTCATTTATTTTTCTGGAGTTGAGCTGGAGGAGTTGCTTGTATATTTTTGAGATTAATCCTTTGTCTGTTGCTTCATTTGCTATTATTTTCTCCCAATCTGAGGGCTGTCTTTTCACCTTGCTTATAGTTTCCTTTGTTGTGCAAAAGCTTTTAAGTTTCATTAGGTCCCATTTGTTTATTTTTGCTTTTATTTCTAAAATTCTGGGATGTGGGTCATAGAGGATCCTGCTGTGATTTATGTCGGAGAGTGTTTTGCCTATGTTCTCCTCTAGGAGTTTTATAGTTTCTGGTCTTACATTTAGATCTTTAATCCATTTTGAGTTTATTTTTGTGTATGGTGTTAGAAAGTGTTCTAGTTTCATTCTTTTACAAGTGGTTGACCAGTTTTCCCAGCACCACTTGTTAAAGAGGTTGTCTTTTTTCCATTGTATATCCTTGCCTCCTTTGTCAAAGATAAGGTGACCATAGGTTCGTGGATTTATCTCTGGGCTTTCTATTCTGTTCCATTGATCTATATTTCTGTCTTTGTGCCAGTACCATACTGTCTTGATGACTGTGGCTTTGTAGTAGAGTCTGAAGTCAGGCAGATTGATTCCTCCAGTTCCATTCTTCTTTCTCAGGATTACTTTGGCTATTCGAGGTTTTTTGTATTTCCATACAAACTGTGAAATTATTCGTTCTAGTTCTGTGAAAAATACCATTGGTAGTTTGATAGGGATTGCATTGAATCTATAGATTGCTTTGGGTAGTATAGCCATTTTGACAATATTGATTCTTCCAATCCATGAACACGGTATATTTCTCCATCTGTTTGTGTCCTCTTTGATTTCTTTCATCAGTGTTTTATAGTTTTCTATGTATAGGTCTTTTGTTTCTTTAGGTAGATATACTCCTAAGTATTTTATTCTTTTTGTTGCAATGGTGAATGGTATTGTTTCCTTAATTTCTCTTTCTGTTTTCTCATTGTTAGTGTATAGGAATGCAAGAGATTTCTGTGTGTTAATTTTATATCCTGCAACTTTACTGTATTCGTTGCTTAGCTCTAGTAATTTTCTGGTAGAGTCTTTAGGATTTTCTATGTAGAGGATCATGTCATCTGCAAACAGCGAGAGTTTCACTTCTTCTTTTCCTATCTGGATTCCTTTTATTTCTTTTTCTGCTCTGATTGCTGTGGCCAAAACTTCCAAAACTATGTTGAATAGTAGTGGTGAGAGTGGGCACCCTTGTCTTGCTCCTGATTTCAGGGGAAATGCTTTCAATTTTTCACCATTGAGGGTGATGCTTGCTGTGGGTTTGTCATATATAGCTTTTATTATGTTGAGGTATGTTCCTTCTATTCCTGCTTTCTGGAGAGTTTTAATCATAAATGGATGTTGAATTTTGTCAAAGGCTTTTTCTGCATCTATTGAGATAATCATATGGTTTTTATCTTTCAATTTGTTAATGTGGTGTATTACATTGATTGATTTGCGGATATTAAAGAATCCTTGCATTCCTGGGATAAAGCCCACTTGGTCATGATGTATGATTTTTTTAATATGTTGTTGGATTCTGTTTGCTAGAATTTTGTTAAGGATTTTAGCATCTATGTTCATCAGTGATATTGGCCTGTAGTTTTCTTTTTTTGTGGCATCTTTGTCTGGTTTTGGAATTAGGGTGATGGTGGCCTCATAGAATGAGTTTGGAAGTTTACCTTCTTCTGCAATTTTCTGGAAGAGTTTGAGTAAGATAGGTGTTAGCTCTTGTCTAAATTTTTGGTAGAATTCAGCTGTGAAGCCATCTGGTCCTGGGCTTTTGTTTGCTGGAAGATTTCTGATTACAGTTTCGATTTCCTTGCTTGTGATGGTTTTATTAAGATCTTCTATTTCTTCCTGGTTCAGTTTTGGAAAGTTATACTTCTCTACGAACTTGTCCATTTCTTCCAAGTTGTCCATTTTATTGGCATAGAGCTGCTGGTAGTAGTCTCTTATGATCCTTTGTATTTCAGTGTTGTCTGTTGTGATCTCTCCATTTTCGTTTCTAATTTTGTTAATTTGGTTCTTCTCCCTTTGTTTCTTAATGAGTCTTGCTAATGGTTTGTCAATTTTGTTTATTTTTTCAAAAAACCAGCTTTTAGCTTTGTTAATTTTTGCTATGATCTCTTTAGTTTCTTTTGCATTTATTTCTGCCCTAATTTTTAAGATTTCTTTCCTTCTACTAACCCTGGGGTTCTTCATTTCTTCCTCCCCTAGTTGCTTTAGGCGTAGAGTTAGGTTATTTATTTGACTTTTTTCTTGTTTCTTGAGGTAGGCCTGTAATGCTATGAATCTTCCCCTTAGCACTGCCTTTACAGTGTCCCATAGGTTTTGGGTTGTTGTGTTTTCATTTTCATTCATTTCTATGCATATTTTTATTTCTTTTTTGATTTCTTCTATGATTTGTTGGTTATTCAGAAGCGTGTTGTTTAGCCTCCATATGTTTGAATTTTTAATAATTTTTTTCCTGTAATTGAGATCTAATCTTACTGCACTGTGGTCAGAAAAGATGACTGGAATGATTTCAATCTTTTTGAATTTACCAAGACTAGATTTATGGCCCAGGATGTGATCTATTCTGGAGAAGGTTCCGTGTGCACTTGAGAAAAAGGTGAAGTTGATTGTTTTGGGGTGAAACGTCCTATAGATGTCAATTAGGTCTAGCTGGTCCATTGTGTCCTTTAAAGTTTGTGCTTCCTTGTTCATTTTCTGTTTAGTTGATCTATCCATAGTTGTGAGTGGGGTATTAAAGTCTCCTACTATTATTGTGTTACTATTAATTTCCTCTTTCATACTCGTTAGCGTTTGCCTTACATATTGCGGTGCTCCTATGTTGGGTGCATACATATTTATAATTGTTATATCTTCTTCTTGGATTGATCCTTTGATCATTATGTAGTGTCCATCTTTGTCTCTTTTCACAGTCTTTATTTGAAAGTCTATTTTATCTGATATGAGTATTGCGACTCCTGCTTTCTTTTGGTCTCCGTTTGCGTGGAATATTTTTTTCCAGCCCTTCACTTTTAGTCTGTATGTGTCCCTTGCTTTGAGGTGGGTCTCTTGTAGACAGCATATATAGGGGTCTTGCTTTTTCATCCATTCAGCCAGCCTTTGTCTTTTGGTTGGGGCATTCAACCCATTTACATTTAAGGTAATTATTGATAAGTATGGTCCCGTTGCCATTTATTTTGTTGTTTGGGGTTCATGTTTATACCACCTTTCTGTGTTTCCTGTCTAGAGAAGATCCTTTAATATTTGTTGAAGAGCTGGTTTGGTGGTGCTGAATTCTCTCAGCTTTTGTTTGTCTGTAAAGCTTTTGAGTTCTCCTT